CTAATCGCTCGAACCACTGTGCCCCGCGATTCGCTAGCGTTCCACGGATTCGCAAAGTTTAAAACCTGCTTCATAATTTCAACCGCCGCCAGCCAAACTCATTCCGAAGTATACCGGGACCTAACGGTATGCACTCAGGCGGTCACTAGTTCTAAGCGTCCAAAGCAAACTGCACGTAACGATTTCTTCGGAGAAGTGGACCGTTAAGGTAGCTGAAGGGTGTGCACCAATCTTGACAAAGGTATTCAGTGTAATTTTCTGGGGAGCTTGGACCAGTTGGCTAAAGATGTCATGGTTTCAAGTAAAACAATAAGAAGACTTGGCAAAGGTACTATATGTATGATAGAAAAAGAGCAAGCTTCAGAGGAAGCAGAGAAAAAGTGCAATATTAAGAATTGCAAATGGATTTTCAGCATGGGCACACAGGTGTTTTGTTCAGAAACCAGCGAGAAGGTGGTCACGGTTGGGGAGATTTCCTTCCGAAAGAGTTCTCGGAACCCCGTTAAAACTTCCAACGAAGCTAAAGAAGCAGTTTTTTGTCTGTTAAACCCTAGTTCAAGTGAGAGACTGGGCTGAGTTAAAATTCCAGCTGGTTTAGGACTGATTTCGGGTTAAATTGTGGGATCTGATTGTCGGACAAAGCGACCACCTGCTTTCTCCAATATGAACGAAGTGGATTATCCATGGGGGTTGATATTTAAGCTGAAAGCTACATGAAGCCACGCCTTGAGTGTATCGCAAAAGGCGGCTTCTTAAAGGGATCCATAACGTCCATGATCGGCCATATTGAATGAGAATTGTTAAATATTGCTCGATAAGGATATGGCTAGCTTTTGCAGTGGTTTTGTCACCATATTTGTCCCTTAGCTGTGGAGTGGTGGAGAGTACCCGTCCATTCCGGTGTTAAGTAGTCTTATTTATTATATGGAAACTCATCTTTCTCATCAAGATTATTTCATTTTTCAGATTTCTGTCAATATTGTTTTTCTGTTATTCTATAGGTTTTGAGCCAGCGCATTTGTTTTTGATTTGATTATTGTTCAATGAACTCATATGTACAAGTCGCCATTTTGAATAAGTTCGATTTTAGATATGTTTCAAATTTTATGGTTTACGTCGTATGTGTTCCATTGCTTCAAAATAAATGCTGCAAACTGGTGTTTTTTGATGATGGAGTTGGATGTTATGTTCGTTCAAATATCGCTAAACGATCTTGTTCGTGTTGCTCTATTTGCTCTATTACTATTATCCTATTTGTTTATTGTTTTTGTTTGTTCTCTTCTAGTTTTTACCGCTCTCATCATATGACTCTTAAAGCAACAGTCCCAGCAGGGTTTTTACCTTCGACACTAATGGTGTGGAACGATGCGCTAGCCCTAGTCAAGAACATAAGAAGTGTGACTGAACAAAAAACTCACCTTGGAAAGCCGCTAGAAAGGGAGCTGAACGGCTTCGAAGTGGGCGTGGTTGAATCGGCCGAGGGGACTGCACAACCACGCCCACTTCAAAGCTCCCTTTCTAGCGGCTTTCCAAGGTGAGTTTTTTGTTCAGTCACACTTATGTTCTTGACTAGGGCTAGCGCATCGTTCCACACCATTAGTGTCGAAGGTAAAACCCTGCTGGGACTGTTGCTTTAAGTCGGGGAAATCACACATTTTCACGGTAGAGTAAAAGGGTGAGAGACGGGTGCATTGATGAAGTATTCTAGTGACCCCGCCCATATGGTCATTGTGTATCGTATCTTTGAAGCAGAGCGGTACGATAAATTGGTCGTCCATCGGGGTTGAAAGTAGAGTATGAGCTGTTAAGAGAGGCAGCAGCAAAGAGAAAGCTAAGGGAAACAGCCTAAAACCCGCAAAAGGGGACCTTTTCTTAGTTGTTTTCTACGATGGACGAGTTTCGTATTCAACGTGTACGCTCTACTCTGCCTCTCAGCTGGAGCGGCTGGAGTCCGCCGGCGAAGGACTA